TATATGTGGAAATGATACAGCAATCATGGAGCACAGGAGTTCAACATTTTTATGTGCATTTCTAGTTTGCACTTTAGCTTCAATGAAAATTTCTTTATTAAAAAAGGGACAGTTGATGGAAGGGAAATGGAATGAAAAGTGGAGAGACTGTATCTTATCTGATCCCCACCAGTAACTATAGTACATAAAGCCCAGGGGGTCCTAGTGAAGTCCCAATGAAGTTCCTAAACACTAGCATCCCTGGGTGTGGCAATCAAGGACTCCACACTGCCCACGTGAATGGGTGGGAGGTCAGGAAAGCAAGAGGCTTTCTGCACACCTTCTATTTTACAATTAACAAAGAGCATGGGACAACCAGAGCCACGTTCCCTGAGGATATGCTTTCATCTATTTCTGGAAAAAAAGAGACACAGAGAGAGAGAGAAACATTGATCGGTTGCCTCCCATATGCACCCAGACTAGGGGTTGAACCCACAGCCTGGGTATGTATCCTAACTAAGAATCAAACCCACAACCTTTCGGTGTATGGGGCAATGCTCCAACCAACTGAGCCACCCAGCCAGGGCCCTTGTGTTCTTAATGAGAAAGAATACAGGTGATCTGTGAAGTACTTATAATGTAGAGGAGGGAGATTCCACAATGTTGAATATTAAACCAGCAACTGAAGGCCATCCTCTACAGACAGCCTAAGAAGAACACAGGGCTTCAGAGTATGGAGATGTTCATCTGTCCTTGGTGTTACGGATTCTGTAAATGAGTGTGGCCTCAGTGACGTCTCCGTAGATCATATCACTATAAGGTTCTGTTACTAAGAGAATCGCAACTTTTCCACTCTGGACTCCTGTTGGTTTTACTTATTTATAGACTGAATGCCACCTTGGCATGGTTTGCTCCTCAGGTGACAAATGAACCTGGCTGGCTGGAACAAGAATGTCACCCCCTCCTTTCCCAGGGCTCTGCACTTGCCTTCCTAGGAATGAACTTGGGTTGTAGCTTCTCCTGGGGAAGTGGAGAGTGGCCCTTGGAACTCCTGTTGCTAATAATTCCAACTGTCCCCGTTCAACTCAAATGGGAATGGGAAGATCCTGGGCCAGGGGGAGAACTAATTATTTTGCTGCACAATGAGTCATAAGGCCCTGGGCAGATGTTACCTACACTGAAAACACATAAATTTCTTTCCTGAGTGTTGCAGGGGAGAGCCACAGCAGGCAGATATAGCTGCTACCAGCCGAGAAATTCCAAGAGCCCCCGCCTGGGCAGCCTGGTGACACTCCCAAGGCTGTATCCTGAGACTGTCAGCTATATCTATGCTCTATTCTCTCAGCCCAGGAAGCTTATGAAAATGTAAGAGTGAGTGTCACTTTATTATACAAATACCTCTGAAGTTAGTTTATATTTTAAGTAACTATAAATTTTTTAAGTAAATTATCTGAAAACTTCAGTACTTTACAAAAATAAATTTCTCATGACACACCTCTCAAGTGAAGTGATAGCCCAGGTTTGAGAGAAAGACCTCCCCAATTTTTTTATTTTTATTTTTTTATCAAAGATGTGATCCTGGGAAGCAGGAAGGCCTAACCTGACTTCTGCCACTGGGCCCTCTCAGCCCAGGGCTCAGCAGGCCATACAGATCCCAATGGTATCTAAGTACTTGTTGTCCAAAACTTGTAGACAGAGGACTATGGGAGGGCCTAACAGGAAAATGCACCTTCTACCTTGCTCCTCCAAGTGTGGCTTTCTGACCAGCAGAGTTGGTAAAAGTGGCATCACCTGGAGGCTGGTTAGAAGTGCAGGACTCAGGTCTCATCCCATTCTTGCTGAATCAGAATCTGCATTTTAATAAGACATCCCACTGATTCTTACATACTTTGAAACCGAACTGACAAATTACAAATTCTTCTTGTTCAAACATCTCTCCCGATTACTATAAAGTCCCCATGTCAATCAGTCTTTCCTCCAAGCCTCAAATATAACAATGTAGCTTAAAGCAAACCAGCAGCAGAATGAACTGGCAAAGCGTGAAAAAGATGCGGGATTGCACAGAATTAACAGACATGATCTGGGAGAAGCAGTACTCAGATCACACAGGAGGCATCGGCCAGGGAGGAAAGGCAGCCTCAGACCCCTTAGCAAGGGAAGAGGCGCGTATCCACAAGCATGGTCACATTCCTTCAAAAGAGAATGATTTGAATATCAAAGAATGAAGACAGGCCCTTGGGAAAAATGACGAGGCTCATGAATATCTTTGTAAAAATGACCCACTTTATGACTGTGCCGTGAAAGTCAAACATATAATTTTGTTGAAAAACTGTGCTAAAAAGGAAAATCGACTTCAGTCCAGCTGGTGTGGCTCAGAGGATGAGCAGCGACCCAAGAACCAAGAGGTCACCAGCTTGATTCCTGGTCAGGGCACATGCCTAGGTTTCGGGCTTGATCCCCAGCAGGGGGGAGNGGTCAGGGCACATGCCTGGGTTTTGGGCTCGGTCCCCAGTAGGGGGCGTGCAGTCAGCGNCAGTCCAGCTGGTGTGGCTCAGAGGATGAGCAGCGACCCAAGAACCAAGAGGTCACCAGCTTGATTCCTGGTCAGGGCACACGCCTGGGTTTTGGGCTCCGTCCCCAGTAGGGGGCGTGCAGTCAGCAGCCGATCAATAATGTTTTTCTCTCTTCAATGTTTCTATGTCTCTATCCCTCTCCCAATAAAAACATATTTTAAAAAAACATCAAATTCAGTCTTCATTCTAAGGAGGAGCACATTGTTTTAATGATAACTTAAATGATGTTATGTGAGGTATGTTATTTTCATAAGTTTTAGTTCCACTTTTCAAGGCAAAGTCTAATGAAGTGTTGTCACTATTTCTCATGATGTTTGGTCCTTGTTTAAGTGCGCTCCTGACAAGTGGACTTTCCCAGGGCTGGTTTTCCTCCCATAAGTCACTCTGAACTCTAACATTTACTGTGTGCATCCCCTTTTCTTTTTCCCTATGGGACTTTTTGGTGCCTAGAACCAGTGTGGCATCATTGACACCAACATACTCTCCAGCTGAGTGAAGAATTCTTCTTACTGTCCTGCTTCTTGGTTGGATGTTTCAGAGCACTGTGATGTCACGGAAGGGGGTTCACTGTGGGTTATAGCTCTAGAGGCAGGTGTCTATTCCATGGTTACCTTATCGACCATGAGGAAGTTCTCCAGGGTCTCTCCGTTTTCACAGGTGACATCGCCAACCTCCCTCACGGCTCTGGGCAGGATCTCTTGCACCTCCTGGGCAATCATTCCTAGACACAAAACACTCCAACAGGTTGAGTCAGGAAGAGACCTTTCTGGAGAAAATCCTCCCAGGCCTACATCAGAACAGAGCACCCACAGCCATGGGCCACACGGGAAGTCTTTGCAAACAGAGGCTTATCCCTTCTCAGCTTTTGCTTTGATCTAAGTGCATTTGAAGTAAAGAAGGAATTTTGAGCCATGAACCACCCTAGGATTAAAGTGGGAGTGCCGCGCTCTTTACTTTTCCTCGAGACTCTGGGCCAAATGTTGGAAGGGTAAGTAAATACCTTAAAATTCCTTCACGTAGAAGCAAGGGTGGGGGCATTAGCTTATTTTTTTCTTTTCCTGCAGGAGCACTTTGCGTCCTAACCCATTCTTTAGGATCCCCGGATTGGAGTATAAGCACCACTTTGGCCCTTCTCTGACCTAGACCTGCCTACCCTGCCATTGTCTCTCTCCATCCCAGGACTGACCTCCAACAGTTTGAGCTGCCACCTGCCCCTCGACCCTCATCCCATGAACAACAGGACGCCCGTGAGAAGAAACAATATATTAAAAATACTCCACCAGTACCTCGGGGTGCAGGATTGAGGTTGGAGTGTTGCGTAAAGGTGACAGGAATTTCTTTAAGCTTTCCTGTTCTAGTGATTATGGGTTTCACAGAGCACGAGTTAGACCAGCGGGATGTTGTCAAATGCCATAGCACACACCCTCCAGGTAAAGAATTTAGAATTAAAATTCTCATAGGTGACAATATGGAATTAAAAAGGGAACTTGTGCATGTACCTGTTTGATGGGCAGTGTTTATGCCCATCGCAGACGCAAACTCAGGTTTGTAGTCATACTCAACAACCCTCATTTGGGCTATTCTTCTCAGCTGTTCATTTGTGTCAACCTAATTGAATTAAAGAAGAGCAAACAGGTTTCACCCACTTGGATATTTGCTGTTTAAATCAATGCCCAGAGTGACCCAGGGTGATTAGGCACGTGGAAGATAAGATTGTCTTTTCCTGTTGCTCAAACTATTTTAAGAGAAATTTATATTTTTCTCCTTAGAGAAGCCAAAGTTTCAGCTTTCACATTAGTGAATTCTATCCACTGATTATAAACTGAGCCAGTTTTTATGCATAGATTCCAAGACAAAAGCTCCCTCATTCACTGCTCCTGCCTTCCTTCCCTCCTCNGTCCCCAGTAGGGGGCGTGCAGTCAGCGGCCGATCAATAATGTTTTTCTCTCTTCAATGTTTCTATGTCTCTATCCCTCTCCCAATAAAAACATATTTTAAAAAAACATCAAATTCAGTCTTCATTCTAAGGAGGAGCACATTGTTTTAATGATAACTTAAATGATGTTATGTGAGGTATGTTATTTTCATAAGTTTTAGTTCCACTTTTCAAGGCAAAGTCTAATGAAGTGTTGTCACTATTTCTCATGATGTTTGGTCCTTGTTTAAGTGCGCTCCTGACAAGTGGACTTTCCCAGGGCTGGTTTTCCTCCCATAAGTCACTCTGAACTCTAACATTTACTGTGTGCATCCCCTTTTCTTTTTCCCTATGGGACTTTTTGGTGCCTAGAACCAGTGTGGCATCATTGACACCAACATACTCTCCAGCTGAGTGAAGAATTCTTCTTACTGTCCTGCTTCTTGGTTGGATGTTTCAGAGCACTGTGATGTCACGGAAGGGGGTTCACTGTGGGTTATAGCTCTAGAGGCAGGTGTCTATTCCATGGTTACCTTATCGACCATGAGGAAGTTCTCCAGGGTCTCTCCGTTTTCACAGGTGACATCGCCAACCTCCCTCACGGCTCTGGGCAGGATCTCTTGCACCTCCTGGGCAATCATTCCTAGACACAAAACACTCCAACAGGTTGAGTCAGGAAGAGACCTTTCTGGAGAAAATCCTCCCAGGCCTACATCAGAACAGAGCACCCACAGCCATGGGCCACACGGGAAGTCTTTGCAAACAGAGGCTTATCCCTTCTCAGCTTTTGCTTTGATCTAAGTGCATTTGAAGTAAAGAAGGAATTTTGAGCCATGAACCACCCTAGGATTAAAGTGGGAGTGCCGCGCTCTTTACTTTTCCTCGAGACTCTGGGCCAAATGTTGGAAGGGTAAGTAAATACCTTAAAATTCCTTCACGTAGAAGCAAGGGTGGGGGCATTAGCTTATTTTTTTCTTTTCCTGCAGGAGCACTTTGCGTCCTAACCCATTCTTTAGGATCCCCGGATTGGAGTATAAGCACCACTTTGGCCCTTCTCTGACCTAGACCTGCCTACCCTGCCATTGTCTCTCTCCATCCCAGGACTGACCTCCAACAGTTTGAGCTGCCACCTGCCCCTCGACCCTCATCCCATGAACAACAGGACGCCCGTGAGAAGAAACAATATATTAAAAATACTCCACCAGTACCTCGGGGTGCAGGATTGAGGTTGGAGTGTTGCGTAAAGGTGACAGGAATTTCTTTAAGCTTTCCTGTTCTAGTGATTATGGGTTTCACAGAGCACGAGTTAGACCAGCGGGATGTTGTCAAATGCCATAGCACACACCCTCCAGGTAAAGAATTTAGAATTAAAATTCTCATAGGTGACAATATGGAATTAAAAAGGGAACTTGTGCATGTACCTGTTTGATGGGCAGTGTTTATGCCCATCGCAGACGCAAACTCAGGTTTGTAGTCATACTCAACAACCCTCATTTGGGCTATTCTTCTCAGCTGTTCATTTGTGTCAACCTAATTGAATTAAAGAAGAGCAAACAGGTTTCACCCACTTGGATATTTGCTGTTTAAATCAATGCCCAGAGTGACCCAGGGTGATTAGGCACGTGGAAGATAAGATTGTCTTTTCCTGTTGCTCAAACTATTTTAAGAGAAATTTATATTTTTCTCCTTAGAGAAGCCAAAGTTTCAGCTTTCACATTAGTGAATTCTATCCACTGATTATAAACTGAGCCAGTTTTTATGCATAGATTCCAAGACAAAAGCTCCCTCATTCACTGCTCCTGCCTTCCTTCCCTCCTCTGAGGCAAACCCTCCTTCTGAGAATTGAGGTTGCTCACTTTGGTATAACAATAATGATTTTTTTAAATCATCTTATTCAACAAGTAAAAAATTGGCAGCCCTATGTGGGTTCCCTAAATTTTCTTTTAGAACATAACTGGGTTATGAAACCAGTGATCTCTTGGCAATTAAAATTATACTGCCTGGACATTCATCCATGTGTTGGAGCAACCAAAAAATGCTTTGATGATGTTGCTGCTGTTTTAATAAAACCCCTGCCATGACCCTCAACTCCTCAAGACTCACTCTGTCAGACGAACAGGGCAGCTGCTCCAATATCTTTAAAGGCCCTTGCCTTCCCTAGTTTGGCTGACTGTGGAAGGCTGTGGCTTGGCACTTAACTGGCTAAATGGACAAGCTTTACTTCAGGTATTTGTCAAGGAATCTAATTTTCAGCTCACTATTGTTTTAATAACTGCTCTTCTTATCAAAAGCTTGGTTCAATGTTTTATTCAACTAACATTTACCAATCACCTTCAACATACCACGCACTACACTAAGTGCCGGGACTTCAAAACTGATTGCCTTTTCACCCAGAACTAATCCAAAATAATACTGAATGTAAACTGTAATTGAAAAATAAAATTTTTAAAATGATTACCTTTTAAAAGTTTGTGGTCTACACAGGAAGGCAGACTTATCACATACGGATTGTATTACAATGTGACATGCAGGGTGATGATGAAATTATGAATGGAAAGTCATGACTGCTCTGAGCAAGGACCTAAGATATTCTCAGGGGGGAGCATAAAGGGGCTTCCTCGAGATGGTGAAGCCCAATCGAGATCTTGGCTTCTTTGTGTTCTCAAATGTGTTCTGCTCCTTTCACTTCAGGACCTTTGTTCATAGCATTTTCCTGCCTCAGTAGCAATTTCTTCCCACTCCCCTTCGCCTCCCCCAATGCCAACATTCCTTCACCAGAGAAGCAGCTCTTGACCTCCAAGACTAGGAAGGGTCCCTCTGCTTATGTGTAAATGGCACCTGTACTTTTCCTTCATGGCACTAATTGAGTTATCACCAGACAGCTGGTTGTGTCACCCTTATTATTTGTGTCTTCCCTATAGGCTACATACCTGAGGACAAGGACATATAAAGCTGTGGTTTTCCATTCATCATCAAATCACCAGTTTTTAGTACAATTCCTTCCAGATAGTAGATGTTCAACTAATATTTGTTAAATAAATTAACTTTAACATAGAAGTTAGTTGTGGAAAGATGTAGTGGGGGAGAGCTAGAAAGGGTAAGACTAAGACAAGATGCTGGGCAGAAAGAATGCCATGAACCAAGTCCCAAGGCAGCAAATCCCCCAAATGACATCTGCATCACAGAGGCAAAGTTTGACCTAGACTGTAAAGATAAGGTCAGAGCAAGGAGGGCTTTGCAGGCCATGCTGGGAAGGAGCAGTCGCAATCTCATGCACTTGTCACCGTGAGCTCCTTCATTCAACAAATATTTAATGAGTAGTTACTATATGACAGATGCTATTCCAGGCACTGGAGATTAAATGAGTGTTTCTTATTGGGGGTTCAAATTTTAATAAAAGTTCTATTCCTTAGGGTAAGGCCAATGTCTTGTTCATTTCAGAAACTGCACAGTGCCTAGCAAAGTGTTGGATGTAACAGGCACCCCAGAACTTCGTTGCAGAAAAGAAGGAATGAAAGAATGGAGGTAGTGAGATGGCAGAATAATCCCTGACACTAACAGAATTGAAGATGGAGGTCAATCAGGAGCCAGCCCGGATTGGCCTTTTGTGCTAGCCGAGCCCTACCAGTTCCCCACTCTCTGCACCCTCGGGAGTCCTGTGCTTGCTTTGCTTACTTTCATTATCCCTGTGGTTCACGCATGAGCCCCCACTGGAGACCAAAGTTGAGGTAGCATCAGTTTCTTTGCTGCACACAGAAAGCAGAGAAGGATGTGCCCTCACTCAGGCTCTCCAGGCTAGGTAGTGGGAAAATGACCCCGGTGTCCAACTTGGATCTTTGCCTGCATTTTCCCCAAAGACATATTGCTACATATAGCACTTAGGTTCTCTAGTACTATAACCATTGGATATCAGACAGGTTTTTGCCCAAAGGAAACTTTGAGGGTTGGTTTGGGGATCTAAAGACCTATAACAATGTTTCTCTAAGAAAATGCTCTTCTGATTTCTGGCTTGTAGACTTCCCAAAGCTAAATATAAACTGCCTGCATTGCATGTTCCCTAGGTGTGCACTTGGCCTAGAGAAAACCCCTGAGGCAAGGGCTGTGCCTCGTTGGAATCCGCCTCCAAGAACCATACACAGACTAGCACTTAACACCACGCCTTGCTCATCATGTGTGTTGAGCAAGAAGCTAGAAACTGAATTATAGTGTCTGATCTGATCTTGCCCACAGCAGTTTTGGAAAGTTTTGACCACAAATGCAAGTGGCCATCACTGTCATGCTGCCTCATGCCCCGGGTTTCTGGATTATTCCAGCCCACGGGAGTCCAGGAAGTGCAGGGAAAGAGATCTCATTACCCGTCATCTGGCTCTGGCCCCAGCCAAGACCAGCAGTCTCGCATCAGACACTGGCTCACCCAGAACTCAGGAACTCCTGCATTTGGCTTGTGGCCCTGAGGGGAGATTGCACTGACTTTCTCCAGCTCTTCACACTTTTGTCTTTAACTAGTTCACTGCTGGTGTGTTTGGGAGGGGAAAAGTAATTTTTTTTGAGCATTTCATCTTAATTATTTTTTCCCCTTGGCTTTTGTTTTTGGGTCTTTTGCTGCCTGTTTGCAGCCTTCACTGCAGAATTTGACAGATGCATTCAGCTCTCAACTTCCCCTTTTTTAGCATTGACGTTGATGTTCTTCATGCCCCTTTGGTTTCCAGCATGCCCTTTCCACCCTAATTTTGTTCTGTTTCCATGGTAAGAGCCTCATTTCCTTCTCCAGTCTGTAGTCACATCGGAAAAACAATGCCACTGTCTGGGTAAGTTCAGCGGCTCCTCTCAGGCCGACCTCATTTTCTCAGTGCTTCAGTTTCACAGGTTTCAATCATATCTGCTTTATTGTCTCTGTGTCTTGGATATGCATCCAGATGAGGCCCAGAGATCTCCTCCACCAGGACTCTCTGTGCAGAGTGCTCCTGTGCTCACTGTCTGCCAAGCAACCTACGTTGCCTTGAGTGGAGACACGGAGCCAGGTCAAGGCAGCAGCCTCTATTCATTTTCCCTGTTACAGTGTTTGATAACATGTCTGGCCACTATGTTTTGCAACAGCTCATCCAGTTACCATGTAACCTGAAAGAATGAAGGATGGATGCCCCCAGTCCCGTGCATGCGATCGGACCAACCAAGGATTCCTTCCCAGCACATTTGGAAAATTTAAGTCAGGGAGAGGTGAAGATGAAGTCCACATATCTGTCAGCACCATCATCAGCATTACCATCCTTGCTCTTGTCTGTAATAAAGGTCCACTAGGACAGATAAGATTTCTAGAAGCATCTATTTGGTAAATGTGGATAGGCCTATTAAGAACAAATATATTAATATGAAATAATTTAATAAACAAAGGACACATAATTTGCATCTTTTACAAGTAAATAATATCTATATGCTTAGCCTTGTACAGCTAAAAATTGCTTCACATAATTAGAAAAGCCCCTGGGTAAAATGAATGTAAGCATTCCCTGTTCACAGAATAAAAAGAAGCATAGAATGTCTCTGGGCCAAATCTCCTGGGCCAGCGGTTGCCAGAATGAAGACTAAATCTCTAGCCTCCCACCAGAGACTGGGCTTCTCTTTAGTCGGTCATGCTGCTGTGAGCAGGAAAGGGTTGCAGGAACTTCCCATTTAGAGCCTGGATTGAGATGACATTTCACTTTGTGGAGAAGGCTTCCTAGAAGGGATTCAAGAAGCTCTAGGGAAGTTTGCTATTTTAAGACAATAAATTTTCTTCAAACCAAGGAGCGCCAGTTGAAGACTTTAGGTGAATGAAGTTCTGGGCAGAGCCTGGTGGTAGCAGCAGGGTTTCTGGGGGACTTTCCCCACATGTCATCTTCCATTTACATTTAGATAAGGCCTAGTGAGGGAGTGTATAGCCAAGGGCAGGGATAAGTTTGAGTTGGTGTGATCTGAGAGGCAGACAGTTTTCTCTCCCTAAAAGGCAATGGCACAATATCTGGGACTGGAATCTGGAAATGTATGTGAGAACTTTCTGGCCCTAAGAGTTCCCATCCGGCTAGCAGGTCACGGCTCTTCTAACACGAGCCGCAGCTTCACAATCAGCACGAACGTCTACAGTTACCGCCACTCAGCAAAGGAGGACATTCCTTGGCTGGTTTAGAAAACCAGTGCAGATTTGCACTGGGAAAGGAATGCTGTCTGGAAGAACGGCCAATGATTTACAGATTAAGTCTCCTATTAACTAAAAAAGAATACAGACCAGAGGCTTAAAAACACCATTCTGCCACAGCCTCAAAAACTTATAGAAGCAGAGTGAGTGAGAAGGTGGGAAGTGATCGAAGCAGTGAGTGGAAAACAATTAAACGGTGGAAGAGCTGGAACCAGGAGTAACTTGGCATCCTAATCCTAATCCCTTAGGTCTTCATAGCAGTTGTGATTTTTCCCAGATGATTCAGCCCTTAATTCAATGGGTGACAAAATATAAAAGACTCAGTGGGGTCAGGCAGAGAGGCGCCTTTTCATAGATGAAGACACTGAGTTTCGGCGAGACTAAGCGTTTTGTCCAGGGCTGTCCTGCTGGGGGAGCCCAAAGAGGAGGAGCAGCCTCCTAACTTCTAGGCCTGATTTCTGATTTCCACAGGGCGGCTGCCTCTCCGCAGAGGGAGACGGTCTTGACCCGGCACCTTGGGCGATGGGGCTGACCGAGTGAGGGATGAGCAGGAGGAGCTCCCCCGACTGCTCCTCAGAGAAGGATGAGTGGAGCAGACACTGGCCGGAGATGGGAAGGAAAGGGCAATCTGCAGCAACTGGCAATGCGTGGAAGGAAGGGCCATGGCCTGTGGAAAATAACCCGGAGACCTGCTTCTTGGGAGGCCAGCGCTACGCTGTCATTGCCCACTGCTCCTGTCGGGTGAGTCCGTTCTCGGGTAGGAGCTGCTTTCCAATCCCAGCAGATGCCTAATAGCCCAACACCCATCATTGCTAAGCAGCCTCACAGCACAGGCGACGTAGAGATGCCCCACGCGAGGCGTGCTGGAGGCCAGGAGCACCCGGCACACCTGACTCAGGGGTCAGAGGAGGTGTCCGAGGCCTGCCCCGAGCTCACCTCCTGGATATTCTGCTTGGCCCGGCTGTCCGAAGGATGCATAATTGTCCCCATCACTTTCACGTTGCCACAGACAACCAGGGCCTCGTCCGGCGCATCTGTGTTTATTCCCACTCGACCATGACAGACAACAGATTCTGGAACTTGTCCCCGCTGCCATAATGCATCACTGTCATTTTCAAATTGCCCAGGGTTAGAGGCCTGGAAAAAATACATAAATATATTACAATTAAAGTCACAGTAGCAGGAATAGATGATCCCTTTATTCCTCCCAGCAAAGGAAAACAATGTATCTACGTCTTTCACCTGAGACTCATATGTTGGTTGGGACACTCTGACATATCCATAGAGCCAAGGCCCCAGGAGAGCCAGGGGATCCCCTAACTGCTCTGCCCGCCATGAGCAGGAGCTCAGTTGACCATGGTTTGGAACATCCAGTCTCTATTGCATGTATCTGGAATTGACAATGTAACAACTGTACTAGGAGGAAGATGAAGAAGAAAACTCACAATGACTATCTCTTCAGGGATAATCATAATGATCTTAAAACCAGAACATTTCATCAGAAAATATTACATTTATTAAAGCTCAGCTAAGTAAAAAATACTTTGCATTTAGCTAGCCCTTTTATAGCTTCAAAACACTTTCATATTTATGATTTCATACGCAATTGGCAAGCAAATGACAATACAAATATACTTAATACACCGCAACTACCCTCTAAACACTGAAGGAAGAATAGTAACCAACATTTTTTGTGTGCATATCCACACCCCAAGTCTATGCGATATGTACTATTATCCTCGTTTTATTGATTATTAAATAATGATTTTAACTTTGCCTTTCTTGTGCTGTTCCCTATAAGTAACCCTGGTCACATGTGGTCTTTAAAGAAAACCCAAATGAAACTTTAGACTAGATCAAGTTCTGGATATTTTATTCTTAAATAAAATTCTTTGTTGATGAATTTTCCACTGTACTGCCTTCCCACTTCCCCAGTTCCCCATAGCCACTGAATATATTTCCAAACATCTTTAAGTAGGGATCTCTGAATCCATCAAAATCTTCACAACAAAATTGATTTGTATTTAAACGTATGACCTATCCTTCTAAATCTAATTTTTGTGTGTTTGAGGCCGATTGTCAGAAATTCAGACAAAACAGTAGGGACCCTGATCCTATAAAAAGTCAGCACAACCGCAGTCTTCACTTTTTGCCTTTGTGGCGACATAAACGAGACATGGCAAACTCAGCCCCCGAACACACGCAGATCATCTTGAAGAGCACTCAGGAAACCAGGAACAGTGGTTTCCTCAAGGACGGGGCCTGGGAGACGTAGATGCTTGCAGTGTGATTTGAATGTTTTTGCCATATGCATATGTTACCAATTTTAAAAGCATTAAAAGAAACCACAAGGTGCAGTTCTTAGTTTGGGTTCAGTTAAAGAACTTTTGGGTGCCTTCAGCTTCCTGCTTCGTTCCCACCTGTCTGATTTGGGTGCCTTCAGCTTCCTGTTTCAGTCCCACCTGTGTGATTTGGGTGCCTTCAGCTTCCTGCTTCGTTCCCACCTGTGTGATTTGGGTGCCTTCAGCTTCCTGCTTCGTTCCCACCTGTGTGATTTGGGTGCCTTCAGCTTCCTGCTTCGTTCCCACCTGTGTGATTTGGGTGCCTTCAGCTTCCTGCTTCGTTCCCACCTGTGTGATTTGGGTGCCTTCAGCTTCCTGCTTCGTTCCCACCTGTGTGATTTGGGTGCCTTCAGCTTCCTGCTTCGTTCCCACCTGTGTGATTTGGGTGCCTTCAGCTTCCTGCTTCGTTCCCACCTGTGTGATTTGGGTGCCTTCAGCTTCCTGCTTCGTTCCCACCTGTGTGATTTGGGTGCCTTCAGCTTCCTGCTTCGTTCCCACCTGTGTGATTTGGGTGCCTTCAGCTTCCTGCTTCGTTCCCACCTGTGTGATTTGGGTGCCTTCAGCTTCCTGCTTCGTTCCCACCTGTGTGATTTGGGTGCCTTCAGCTTCCTGCTTCGTTCCCACCTGTGTGATTTGGGTGCCTTCAGCTTCCTGCTTCGTTCCCACCTGTGTGATTTGGGTGCCTTCAGCTTCCTGCTTCGTTCCCACCTGTGTGATTTGGGTGCCTTCAGCTTCCTGTTTCAGTCCCACCCGTCTGAACCCTGAGCCGCTTGGAAGACAACCATTGACACTTGATAGACAACAGCAGTGCAAGAATATAAAGTAACAAAGTTGAACATTATTTTGTCTGAATGCACTTGAACAAAGAGCTTTCCTGCAAAATCCCCAGAGCCCCCTCGGCTGTGAATGGCAAATGGGATCTGACTCAAACCCTTTCACAGCAAGCAATCGACTAAATCCAAAGGTATGCCATATAGAATGTTGATGCATTCTGCTCTACTCTGAACATAATGAGCCAGCCACTTCAAGGAAACAAAATGGGACAGTGATGGATTCTTTTTCTTCTTAATGAGCTTTGGGATAATTATTGTCATGTTGGTAACTGTTACTGCAACAGCAGATATAAGTAGACTTAATTTTTTGGAACTGGTGCAACAAGCTCATTAGGCTTTCACCAGATGAAAACTGAAAACCCTAAAATATGTTCAGATTATTTTGAGAAGGGCCAGAGTCTTCCATGTTTTAAATATGTAGACTTAAGAAGGAGGAGTTCTCATCCCTAATGGAAATGTTATTATAAAATCTATGAACTTGTTTTCCTTCTCTGGTATCCAAAATCTTAATGTGTCAAAGCAAACTATAATGGAATCACAGAAAAACTTTCTGGAATTCTGAAGTTGTATTCACATGGGGCCTGGTAGTAGATGATAGATATCAAATACTAAAATGAATTAAAGTTTCTAAAATACCATCATTATTTATCCCACAGTCTCATATATTTAGGGAAGACCTGAACATTTTAGTCTATATTATGACACAGACCGGCTGTGTGACCTTGGGGCAGTCACTTAACCTCTCTGTACCAGTTTTCTCCTCTGAAGAATAATGATAATAATGTCGTCTTCATCTAGCTCATAGTGTTGTGGGAATTTATGAAAATCATGTATACATAAACACTGCAAAAATAAGGATATATAATCTCAAATTTATCCTCAACACACACTGCTGTGCATAGCCACCACTGTCCAACCTATAATTGATTAATCTGCTGTCCTCAGCCACATACCTGCGGAGTGGCATATTTGGGGAGAGGGAGGGAAATTCCGTGCACAAAGAATACAATGTAAATGGTGCCCCCTGCAGGTGGTTGGAATAGGAAACAGCAATTAGTAGTAATTTGAGGCTTGCTCTAAGTCTGTAAGGGAAAGCTGGAATTTCTATTAAATTGGTCAATTTACCCTATGGGGCCATAATGTATTTCTAAAGCTGTTTTGATTGACAGCCCAGAAGAACAATTACTGGGTCCTGCTCACCATTCTCTCTCCAAGGAGAATTCTGACAAGCTTGGTTTCCTGAATCCTCCTGGAGGCCTGACTCTCGTCTATTCCAACCCTTGTTACAATCACCCTTATATGAATCTCTGCTATCAGGAGGAATGATTCTTAGGCCTCAAAATTAGTCTGAATTTGCTAAATGCAATTCCCAGTTTTCTATTTAATGTGGTCAGGTCTTGTAACATTTTCAATTGTCAAATGTTTCTTCCTTCACTCTGGAGCTCAAAGTAACAGAGCCAGGCCACGGCCTAAGAGGGCATTTCTGGCTTTTTTTGTAGAATGTAAGCTGGTCTGCCCTCTGCCCAACCTATGATGCATATACCTGTATGGAGCCTTCTAGAATCTCAGTGGGCATTTCTAAAACTCACTGATTCAAGCAATATTGCCATTTCTGAGACTGTTTTTCTCTTGGTTGGCATAAACATTATACAAATAGATTCAAAACTCTGCATGCATTTTCACTTCTGCATTTGGGGGTGAGAACGAAAAATTATCAATAAGATATCTCTAGTTTGGGAGGGGGGAGGTTTTGTTTTATTACCATTCTTCTCATTTTTGTTAGGGTAATCCTTGTGTTACCCAGCACACTTATAGAGTAGGGCATTCTCTTTAACCAAAACTTATGTCTAGAAGGAAGCAATTCAACCTGGAATGCAATAATTTTTTTCTTCTATTTTTTTTTCCTGGTTTTTTTTTGTAGTGCAATCATTTTTTCAAAAATAAAAATTCAGTGAAGGACATAACACCCAATCTATACTGAGTACATATTTAATTTTTTTAGTATTCATACCAAATATGAATTGCAGAAATTTTCAACTTCTCATAGTCATTATTATGAATTAAACTATCATATTGCTATGGATATGAGGAGGCTCCGGTTAGCAGTGTTTGGGTAACAGCATGTTAGACAGAGGGGTTCCCCCCCGGATTGCTGTTGTGTGGACTTGCACAGCAGCCAGAAGACAGCTTTACAGGAGCTGCCAGCAGGAAGTGGAGGAACCTCAACACCAGGTAAATTATTCAAAGTATGCAGATGACTAGCAGGCTGCCGGATTCAAGCATGAGCTACACAGTTCAGAGCTGCACTTTCATGATATCTAATCTCTGCTACCTCTCAATTTATTCCTATCTATGAGAAATCAGAAACAGTAAACAATCTAGGTTTCCAGACTTTGTTTCAAATCAGATTTGTTATTGCAGTCAAGCAATCCCAGATTGCATCAGGTGAGATGTCAAAGACCACCCTGAACGCTGCTGAGGGAGGGAAGGCCACCTCTGTCCTTGGCTCTTGAGCAGGAAAGAAGGTAGGCCTCACCTGCCTTTCTGGGAGGAGCCTCACTTGCCACAGGTCCAATCAGGCCCCACAAAACGCAGCCTGGTGTGTGCACGCTGCAGGCGCATAGCTGGGCATTCACCCTGGGACATCTGAACACATCAGGGTTTTACCTCATTTCCATCATTACTTCACCTCCATTAAAACACTGAGATGCAGCTTATTATTTTTAATTGACTAAAAGAATCACACAGAGGGGCCCTATTTCAGAATAGCCAAGGCAAAGAAGGAAAGACTCCACTTCCCCAAATGGGCAGATCTTGTCCCCAGGTCTAAGGTTAACAGCCGCCTACGTGGGCATGTCCATAGTGAATGCTTTTCCAATTGGAGTTCTCATGTTCTCCCTGTGTCACTTCAAAGATCCGTGACAACCACCCCCTCCCGGGGCTGCCAGCCCGTGGTTACCTGTTCCCTCGGGCGCCCGGCGTTCTCAGCAGAGGCCAGCCTGGCCTCACACAGCTGCTGCCCCAGCTGCCGGCAGCTTTCTGTTCTCACGGCTGCCGAGACTCTGTCCACAGCTGTGACCGATCAGTCACTCAGTAAAACTTGCTGACCCATTACTATGTGCCAGGCAGGGGCCCAGATGCCCCTGCGGTCGCCCACCACTTTAGGGCATGGAATGCCTCCCCTGCCGCTTCCCCCACCCTGTGAGCTTTGAGGTCAGAGAGAACTGGGTTGTAACCAGGCTCCAACATTTATAAGTTGTGTGATCACAGATAAGTTTCTTACACTCTTGCGTCTCCCTTCCATTGGATATAAAGAATGCAATACATATGTAAAGCAATATAAAATATCATGTATAGATAATTTAGCCCAGTGCCTAGAACAAGTGTAAAAACCAGGGTTTCTCAACCACAGCATGTTGAGCTTTTAGGAGGACAATTCTTTGTCGTGGGGGTTGTCCTGTGCATTGTAAGGTGTTGAGCTGCATCCCAACCTTCACACGTAAATGCCAGCACCCCCCACCTATGACAACCAAAAATGTTTGCAGACATTGCCAAATGACCCTTGGGAGACAGAAGTTTTCCTGGTTGAGATCCACTGTGTAGAAACTAAAATAATAGTATCTGCTATTACTATCCCCAAGAAAAGCATGTGGAATCCAGAAAAGTCAAATAACTGAGCTTACCCTTACAATGATCCTTTCAGAGATGTGGGCAGACAACAGATAGAACTGGTCTTGGTTAGCAGCATACAGTCCAACCACCAACATGAAGTATCTAAGAAACAGCAGACCAATGCCAACACATCAGGGAGTAGAAACATAATTTGTACAATCAAATACCACCCCACAGTTAATCAATAGTGAATTTACCTAGACAGGTTGATGCATTTAAAGATTGCATATTTAAAGATTTTACTCTGCTCTAAGTTGCCCCTCCTGTGAAATGAGAGAGCATCTGATTCACTTGCTATTGTTCTGGGTCCACCCTTTGCCCAGTTTGAGGTATCTGTGAGCTGTGTAACCTTCCCTGGGGAGACATCCTGCTGGGGGCCTGGGCCCAGGCCATGGGACTGGGCCCACTGACAGGGCACCGGCTGCATTCCTGGGCCCTCGGCACAGCACTGCTCACAAACACGAGCAAAACAGGAAGTCACTTTAAAGGTCCCTTTGTCCAGAGTCACCCAAGCTACACGTCCTAGGACTCAATGGAGGGTGACTCAACGGGCTGTGCTCAGCCACACAGGACCCTTCCCACCCTAAGCTGCTCTTTGCGGTGTACCCTGTACCTTCCACACCCTCCAGTCATGGTTTTAGTCAAAGACCTGGACCTTCCCCTCCAACTGCTCTCAATGGCAATTTTCATCAGTTATTTCAGTTGCTTCTTCATATGTACCACCGATGAGACATTTTTAAGATCAGACCATTTTTTGAAAGTCAAAATGAAAACTATCCTGATCAGAGAAGCTTTTGCTTTAATAACTGCATGAAAAAAATCACCAACTTCCTCTGTAACACTCTACAAATTCTCCAATCCCTAGTGAATGAGTTCTCCTCTGTACCTAGAGTAAATCAGTAATAGTAATAATTGTTATTGTTATTGGCTACCATCTACCAAGTGCTCAATGTGTCATGAATCGGGCTAAGTGGTTTATCATTATTTCATTTAGATCCCAAAACAACCCTATTGGAGTCAAATATGGTTATTGTCCCCATTTTACAGAATAGGAAAATGATTCACAAGGAGGTTATGTGCTCAAGGTCACCCTACTAGTAAATGGAAGTATCATATATTCAAACTCAATTCTGTCCAACTCTGAAACCTGTATTTTAAAAACCAGTGGGTCTCAAACTTGAGCATGCATCAGAGTCCCCTGGGGGCCTTGTTAAAATACAAAGTGTTGGGCCTCACCCCTAGAGTTTTTGATTCAGTAGGTCTTTGGTGAGGCCTGAGAACTTGCATTTCTAATAAGTGTTCAGGTTATACTATCTCTGATAGTCCTGGGACAACACTATGAGAACCATGGGCCTAAATTATTACTGTAAATTTATTTTCTTTTTTTAATCAAAAAAGGCTACAGCAAAGCTGCAGGATTCAGGGCATCATATTAGTGACCAGCACACAGGTTTGAGAAATGCAGTCAAGTCCTCAGCCCTCGGACAGCAATGAGAGGTAAATGTATGGTCACCCCAGATATTCAGAGGGACCCAAGGCCCGCAGGTTCAGGGCTAGGTGGGAGAGTAGGCATTGTGGAGGTAAGGATGGAAGAAGAAAGATGTCTAAGGGTAAGTGAGATGTGTTAATAAACTGAGTCAGAGAAGGGTGGGAAATGGCTAAGAGGGAACCGGTTTGCAGGCTTGTAGGGCCCAGAGGGGAAGAGAGGCCGCTGGAGGGTCCCACCTGGCCACGGAAAGTACCACCACCCCGGGACGGACGCAGTGACACTGGTACCTCTGCTCAGGGTTTGGTTTCCCCTTCTTTCTCATGTTATTTGCTGTGGTTTCACTGAAGTGTAGTCGGCCCAACGTTACTTTGGTGACTTGGTTGGCCAGTAGGTCAATTCTAAAACAAACAGCAGAAATACCAAGAGACTGTAAAAGAACATAGAGCCTTTGAGCACATGTAACCCAGCCTGAGATTCTCATGTTCAGTCCCCAGTTCCCGTCACAATGCAGAAAACAGTTTATAACAGTGGCTGATTTTTAATAAGCTATCCATAGCATGGCCAGGAATGGGTGCCAGGGAACTTCACAGAATTATTGAGGGTTTTTATTTTTTATTGATTTCAGAGAGAGGAAGGGAGAGGGAGAGAGAGATAGGAACATCAATGATGAGAGAAATTAATCGGCTGCTTCCTGCACACCTCTTACTGGGGATCGAGCCTGCAACCCAGGCATGTGCCCTGACCGGGAATCAAACCAGCAACCTCTGGGTGCATGGGTCGACCACTGAGCCACACCCGCCAGGCCAGAATTACTCTTGAATGGAAATGTTCATTCCTCAGGAGCTCAACCCAGAGTTTCTGACTCATAAGGGCTGTATGCTCCTTATACCACACGTGGATTCTTTTACCTCCACGATGAGGAAAAAAGACATATTTTATTTGTGCCTCTGCTTCTATAGACTCATTTCCTGATGGAAGCATTATCTCTGGGTTCCTTGCGAATTCCTTCGCATCTCCTTCGTGCATTTGCCCTCTCCCGGCCTGGCCGTGGAAGGCTGCTTGCTCCTAAGGAAGGCCACACACAGCCTTCCCCACTCGAGAGAGAACCAGATGTACCAGCCACGCTTAGAGCTGTGTTTGTGTACGAAGCTCCTGCTTGAGCATCAGTCTGAGCTCCTGCCTGGTCTGCTCCAGCTAAGGGAATATCTTCTTCCACCCAAATGGGCTCACTCAGGGTCAAAACACTGAGATATCTCAACTGTATCCCAGTCAAATCAGTTGAAAAGCAAATCCCACTCCAAAGTGATCCTACAGGGGACTCTCTCTTAGACCACCAGATTGCTTTGGAGAATCCCAATCCTATATGCTTTCTATTTTGGAACCCATTAGGCAATCTATCAACATAGCTTTAAAAAATAAGAAAAAATGTACTGTAAGCACAGGATGGATCCAGAGTCTTGAAATTAATTCTATCAGCCTCATTCTGATTTAAATGAAAAGTTGAAAGATCTAACCATAATCTATTCAAGGAACCAAGTTTGTTAGCAAGATTGTCAGTAGTAAAATGATTATAAAGATAATAATGACTTAAAAATGGAGCTTTTTATAAGGAATTTTTGCAATTATTTCAATGCATTTTACTTTATTTTTGTTAGCATGTATTTATAACATTAACATATTTTTGTTTCTATAATAGGATTCACTTTAAGTAAGCAAAATAAATTGAGCAATAGGTCTTCCCAAAACATTCACAAAGGGATTCAGAAAAGAAATTCTTACTTAACGGGATGGAAAATCTTTTTGCTTCTATCTGCTTGGGACTGTTCGATAGCAATTACTTGATTGGTGGCTTCCACCTGTGTAGAACAACATAAAGTAAATTAATTACTTAATAAATTAATTTATTTATAAAAATGTTCATTGGTAAATAATGTTCAGGTACTTTAAAAGTTTTCCAGGTGTTGCCCAGCTGGCGTGGCTCAGCAGTTTAGCATCAACCTATAATCCAGGAGATGGAGGTTTGATTCCAGTCAGGGCAGATGCCCAGATTTCGGACTTGGTCCCCAGCAGGGGCGTGCAGGAGGCAGCCCATCAAGGACTTTCTCATCATTGATGTTTCTATCTCTCTTTCCCTCTCCCTTCCTCTCTCTCTAAAATCAATAAAAACATATTCTTTTAAAACAGTTTTTCAGGTGTTAGTTTAGACACTGGCAGGAGGGGCAAGTCACTGAAAAGACATATAAGACAATGGCTCTGACCTTAAAGCAATGTGCTATTGGTGAGGAAAGAAACAAACACCTATAAAACCACACAGTGAAAACACAAGACCACAGAGTATTTCATGTAAACAGTGAGTATAGAATAAGCTAGTAGAAGCATCAGTTGCAAAACACAGAAGCAACACAGCCCAAAGGATGCATTCATTCATTCATTCATTCATTCATTCATTCATTCTGTAAATACTCATTGAACACCTGCCATGCACCAGGCATTGCTCAAGGTATTAGAGATGAGAAGTTGACCAAATTAACAGAAATTCTTGTCCCTGCAGCACTTACATTCTAATAAGAAAGAACAATGATAATAAAAACAAATAAAATATAGGAAATAATATTTATTCAGTACTTGCTACATACTCTTCTTATTGTTAGTGAATAGTGGCAAGGGTGTGGTGAGGTCTGCTCTCATCTAGACTGTGGGTATTCACATAGTAACCATCTTTCTGAAAAGCCACTGGGCAACCTATATCAAGAGTTTGAATAATGTTCATATTTTTGATGTTTAAATTCTTCTGCTGGACTTTATCCTCATGCAAAGATGAGTATATGTAGATGTTTACTGCAGTTTTAATAAGAACAAAAAATTGTAAATACAATTTATAATAATACAGGAATCCATATAGTACATCTATACAATAAAAATCTATATCATCATAAACAATAGATGATAGAATCTTTAATATCATATAGTGTTATTTTTTACAATATATTAACAATGAGATTAATTTTAATAACAGAAAAAATAAGGAAAAATTAAGCTACCAAATGGTGGATACCAAATATGAATGAATTTTTTCTCTTCTTCCTATTTTTCTATTGTATTCCAAAACTTTCACAATAAAATTAATACTTCCAAAATCAGAAAAATACGGGTTTTTGTTGTTGTTTGTTTGTATTTCCTTTTATTTTGCTCTGTTTGGTTTGGTTTAAGAGCTCAGTTTGGAGGGAGAGCAGCTGATGTGTTCAGCAGTCTGGCTCCATTTTGGGAGGCTAAGCCCAGATTAGTTATCAGAATAAAATATGTGGACAATAGCTACTCCTCCCCTTACAGTGCTGGATCTGGGGTAATAACTTAATAGATACATATTGACCAATCAGAAGTCATCCTACTTGCATTCTAAACCCAGCTCTATCATTTTTTATCTTGGATGAATTTTGTAACATACTGGGGGCCTCAGTCTCCCTTCTCTGTAACTGGAAAAGAGGGGGTATTGACTAGATTAGTGATTCCTTGGCTTAAGTCAGTGACCTCTTTAAGAATTTGGTAAAAACTTTTAATCTACTCCATGTGAAAATGAACCAGCATAAAAAGTACAAATAATTAAGAATATATTTAGTAAACAAAGAGTAAGATTATACACTGAAAACTACAAAACTGCAGTTTGAAGGGGTATTGTGCCAGTTTCTGAGTCCAAGTTTAAGAAATTGGCAGCTTCTCCTTATGTTCTGGAACATTTATTCTTAGAACCCATCCACCATGCTGTGAGGAAGCACAAGCTATCCTATAGAGAGGTCACATGGAGAAAAGCCATGGTCTCCCAGCTACAGGCCCTTTTGAGCTCCTGGCTGATGGCCCGCACAAACATTACAGACATGGAAGCTAAACATCTTGCCAATTGGATTCAAGCCCAGTTGAGCTGCCCCAGCTGATGACTCCTGAACAAAAATGAGCTATCAGAGAAAAGCTCTAACCAAGTTTCAGATTTGTAACCCAAATGAATGATTGTCAGTATTTTAAGTTGCTGAGTTTGGGGGTAGTTTGTTATGCAGCAACAGACAACTGAAAGACTTAATAAATGTTGGCTGAATTAAATGAAACTAAATAAAAGACTTACCTTAACACCAAAAGCTTTCAAGTAAAACATTTCTATTGGCTTTAGGCCCATTTGGGTTTTGACAAATTTCGGACTTCCCCAAACTTGGATATGGATGGTTATCTGAAAATGGTTCTTCTTTTGGCAAACAAAAGCCTCATCTACTGGTGAAAAATTAAATCCTTTGTCCGTGACAACTCGATAGCCTATATTGGGTCTATGAAAAGAGGAATCAAGAAACCAGTTTTACAAATATTTTCTACACATTTTCTTTTATTAGCCATATTATTTGTATAAACATTTCAAGAAAACATATTGCAAAAAGTTCCTTTTGCTATAAGGAACTATCAATCAATTTTGTGAATTTTTACTGAGAAAATATTTCAGAACACAGCTGGATCTCTCACAGTCTTTTATCTTCTCACAAGGAAGGATCACAGTTCTTGCCAAATGGAAGCATCGTTTCCTCAGCCTACCTTTTCCCTTTGTGCTTTCTAGACTTCTAATTTGACTCCACCATACAAAAGAAAGATATAGCCTAGGAGTTGGGAAGTCAGCACATAACTCAGACTTGTTAAATATCTGGGATAGAATTGATCTCTTTCCTCTTTTAAAAAAAGAGCTCTCTAAATTTTATCAGCAATGCCATACTCAAATAGTCATTCAGATGAATGAATTCAGTCTACTTGTGAACATATGAATAAAGCAGACGGGTCAGAAATACCAGGAACAGCTTTACACCAGATTAACCAGAGCCAGTCATACTACTGATTAAAAACTTGTCTTCTCTAGAGTGTGGTCATTTCCTTTTTATCCACCCAATCTGGTAACAGCACTGAACCTACTGTGCTGGTTATTTCTGCATAAAGGAAAGCCATGGTGGTGGAGTGGCTAAAAAATCAGACTCTTGAGTTACATGTTTAATTAATTAAACATTTTTACACGTTTAAATACTTTTAAAAATTTAACAAAAAATAAAACATGTTAAATTCAAACATTTTTAAGTAGAGAAGAGAATATAAAAGTTGAAAACTCCTTTAGTGAGTTTTTCTGGTACATTGTAGATACGACATGTGATTTTAATTCATCAAAGTTTCTACAGGTGGGTTTTTCCTCAGAAAAGGAGCTCCTTCCTTTTTAAATTTTAGGCTCATACTCATATTTGAGCTGTCAATCTTACTTGCTTCCTTCAGAGTTTTTGACAGTGAAACATGGAAGATCCACCCCGGGTGGAAGGGGGCAGTCCTTACTGCTGTGCTCGTTCTCTGCTACTGTGTGGATTTTTGCATCCTGGGATCTCAATTTGGAAGGCTGCCATTACAATGAACAACATAGAGTTTCTAAACTGTCTTCTAATTCCAGAGACAGAAAATATTAATGGGTCTCTTGGGTAAATAGTGTTTATGTTCTTTGCAAGTAAAGCACCTCCTCAATGAACCAAGTCACTGGGTCATTGATTACCCTCCAGTAGCTGATCAGTCAAGGGCTCCACAATCACAGTTCCTGCTGGCAGCAACAACAAAAATCCGTTGAATGAAGAAGTTGATAAAGACCACATGTCTTATGCCATCTGGGAACTTTATATTGACTGAGGTTTCTAGAACTAATCTGCTAATTTGCTCATCTAAATGCTAGATGGATTGAATTGTATAGATTTTATGACAGAGGGTAATAAGGACTGTCTTGGTTGAGAAAAAAGGAAATATCTTTTTTTGATCTTCCATGTTTCACTGTCAAAAACTCTGAAGGAAGCAAGTAAGATTGACGCCTCAAATATGAGTATGAGCCCAAAATTTAAGGACAGCTATAACAGAAACTGAATCAACCACAACAATTATACTGTCGAAGATTATTCTGAATCTAAAACACCAATCTCTGGTTAAAGAAACCTATTTACCTACATATAGCAATTCTATGTTTAAGATCAAAAGTTAATTATAAAGTCATCTAAACTGGCTTTTTAAAAGCTCCTTTTACACAGGTTTTAAATATCATTCAGGAAAAAGGAGATCTGATAAATTTTCAATCCCTTGATGTTTATTAGGTAATTTAGAGAAACTATTTTTGTAACAAGTTAGACATAATAATCCAAGAACAAGCAAGTGATTTCTTTCTCAATTATCTGAGGAGTTAAATCAAGAGGACCTGAATTCTAATCCAGATGAATATTGCCTTCCTTTTTGCTTAAGAAAAGAGAATTACGGCTTTAAAATAAATCTTCCTCTACACCTTTGAGTTGATACCATCTGTGTGTTTTTCTGGATCAGTTGAGCATAGATTGGTTGTTCAAATAAACTTTAAAAAAATAATCAATTCAAGTAAGAAGAGAGGTAGCAGTTACCTCGAGAACTTAACTCAGATGCATAGAGACTAGGAAGCATTAAAGGTGTAAAATAAAATACCGTGCAGGTGTGTGACAGTTTCATACCTCGGTCCTTACATTTAAGAAAGAATATGGAACACTCCCCGAAGATTATCAAATGAAGGCTCTGACTCAAAACCAAGACCTATGGGCTCTTCCTTTCTTCTTCCAAGTACACACAGTGGCAAAGACAGAAAGTTATGACATTTCAATGATACAATTAGCAACTTGCTTCTTTCTGCCTCCTATTAAACACACCAACCCCAAAGTCTATTTAACTCTTTAGTTTGTGTGTGTGTGTGTGTGTGTTGCCTTTATTGATTTCAGAGAGAGGAAGGGAGAGGGAGAGAGAGATAGAAACATCAGTGATGAGAGAGTCATTGATGGGCTGCCTCCTGCACACCCCCCACTGGGGATCGAGCCTGCAACCCTGCANAGTCATTGATCGGCTGCCTCCTGCATGTCCCCTCACTGGGGATCGAGCCCGCAACCCTGCGNATGAGAGAGTCATTGATGGGCTGCCTCCTGCACACCCCCCACTGGGGATCGAGCCTGCAACCCTGCATGTGCCCTGACTGGGAATCGAACCGCGATCTCTAGGATCCTAGGTTGATGCTCAACTGCTGAACCACACCAGGCTGGGCAACTCCTTAGATTTGGTCTTAAGGAAAAGATGTCTTCCTTCTGGTTCATCTTACATAAAAGTCCTAGTGATAACTTTTGCTCTTAAAGAAGTTATATTTGAATTTGGAAAATACCACGAAGGCCCTCAGGTTTGTAGGCCAGCGTTTCTCATTTCATATTGCGTAGGCATTCCTGAGGACTTAGGTGGATAAATTAGACACTAAGGAATAAAGAAAAGTATTATAAAGAGTGTTTAAAAGCAAGACTGTGTAAATAAGTCCACATTTGTTTCTTGAAACGATAATGTCATAAGAATAGGATGAAACTTTTCCAGTTTAAGAATGTTTTGTATAGTTTGATTTCAGTCTCTGAATATAAACCCACCAATGACTATGATTACTGCAGGGTATGTTAAAAACAAACTCAGAAATACTGATTGGCAGCACAGATGTTGGAGGAGGAAGGTGTCACTAGCTAAAAATTTACTGTGGCTCCCAAAATGTATTCTCTGGAATTTTAAATTAACTGCAAGATTAAATGTTGGTAATCTGGGAAATCTCCATTTTCCAGATTTTAGTTTCAACTGGACATGTGATCTGAGAAAGATCCCCTCTCCCTCCATTGTTTAGTGGTATATTATAATGAGTTAGAATTACAAGCCTGGATTCCTGAAGGCCAGAAACCCGTGTCCCAGCTATTCATCGGTGAGAAGGCAAACGTAAGGAGTAAGACACTTTCTCAACGGCCCATCCCATTTGACCAGGGTGGTGTCAAAGCCCAAGTACTTGGCTTTAGTCTTGAGAGTTAGTCCTTTCTCCCCTCACTCTCCAGCCCACCACAGGGGGTTCCAGGCCACTTACAGTTTTTCGTAATGACTGTTCAATAAACTGTGCCAAGGAACACTTTGGTATGGCTGCCACTTCAGAGCAGGAGAGCACTGGTCAGCAGGCATCAGGTTCTGTCCCTCACTATCGTGGTCTTGCATTTCGCTGCTGAAGCTCTTACTTGTCACTGCAGAGAAACAGGTGTGTTAGATCTTTCCCCCAAAGCAGCTTTTCCTAGATTCACAGACAGCCACAAAATGCTAATGAATAGGCCACATAGAAGGCCGCGACCATGTGGAAAGTGACAAGGATTGGGAGGCAGGAAGCATGTGACAAGCCTTGTTCCCTCATCTGTAGAAACAGCAGCTTGAGGTCGGTGATCTCTAAGTGCCGAAGTGAGTATTTGCTGGAAACATTGCCCTCGGTATCTATCTACCCTGCTTCCTGCGCAGTGTCTCCTCACTTCCATTCTGTGTGGCCTCAGTGAAGCCTACCTTCAGCCCGAGGAGGGAGGAAACCCAGCCAGGCCTGACCAGCCCAAGCACAGAATCCACTATGTGCATCAACGATTGCATCAGGGAGACCCTGGCCTAATCCAATCCTAGCAGAGTGGGTCTCAGCACTACTGGGAATGCAGGCTCAAAGAGGCCGCGTCTTTTCCATGAGGCTTGACCCTGCGAGATAACATTCCCAAGAGCTGCTGGCACCATTTCGGGACATAGGGGACAAGCCTGTCTGGAAGAAGCCAGCACAGCAGAAGGCACAGTGAGAATGATGGCCACCTAGTCCTGATGGTGTGATTTGAGCTCTGGGATCCAATCCTAAACTTTTGGGTTACAGAAGCCAATAAATCCTCTGGTTTTGTTTTTGTTGGTTTGTTTGTTTATTTTTTGCTTAAGGCAGTTTGAGGGTTTGGTTTTCGTCTTTTGTTTTTGTTAATTGCAATCAATACATTCTAATTTATTACAGGTCCCAGGTGGCACCAAAATTCTGTGGTCCAACTAGCTTTTTGAACTTAGAAGAGTTATTTATTCACTTAGTGTCTTACTTCCCTCAACTGAGAAACGGAAACTAAAACAGGTGTCCTGCCCAGCTTGAGACATTACACAGCAGAGAGAATGAGAGCGACAGGGCTTTCGGAAGCTGATACCAAGACACGGTGACAGAAAACATCTTGTTAGTATGCGGTATTAACTATATGAAACTGATACTTTTGTATATCAAAAACGGTCAAATAACAGCAATATTATACATGTAAGCTACTATTTTTGCTTAACTTTGCAAGTTGTCTTAACTTAAGTAAGCCTCCTAACTGCACGATTGAACCGCAGATAATTTTTATGCAAATTCAATTGGTACGTTTGCTGTTCCCCTTTTATTTGAACTCCCCACCATTACTCATGCCTGACATCAGGAGGGAAAGGGAAACAGTGATTGTTCATGAGCTCAGGTGCAGGCTGTAAGAACCACCCAGAAATATGACATTAGCTCATATGACGGAACCACCCAGAAATATGACAGAGCGCGCGCTTAGCCCACAGCTTGGAACGTGCAGGGGGGAGTGGCTGGGTTTTCTTTCACTCACCTAACTTTCTTTCTTTATATTTTTACTGAGGATTTCCTAAAATAAATAACAGAGCTGCCTCGGGTTGCTTTTGATCCCAAATGCCACAAAAAACATGTTTTTCTTGGGGTATCACTATCGCATGTCACCTAAGCAACACATCTGTTTTTTTGCTTCTTGTAAATATGGATTTGGGAACAATTTCTCAAAACCCTAAGAAAACTTTTCCCTGCTATGAATAAGGGGGTCAGCAGTGCAAGGAGCCCTGGCTTCTTCATTCCTCTAAAAGTTACCTGGCCTTAAGTATTTTCAAAACTACAACAGCAACAAACCTTTCCAATACTCTCCTGCTTACAGCAAATTCAGAGAAAGGGAGGAACTAGTTCTTCCATCTCTCCTTCCTCTCTCTTCCAATGGAGAGAGAATAAAGGAAGTTCAAGAGCTTCAAGTCTGGAAATGAGTTTCAATCACAACTCTGTGCTTAATGGATATATAATCTTAGGGAAATGGTTTGAGGACTCAGGGCTTCAGTTTCTTCTTTTGCAAAATAGGAGTAACTTTCTGACACCTCCCGGGATTGTTGAAGGGATTCAATGAGTAATGTCTGTTGTAAGTGCTCAGCACAATGTCTGTCACCAGTAAGAGTTTAAACAACGGTGTTATTATCACACGTACTTGTTTCAGCTCAGGTGACTCAGTTATTCCCTAGAAGCCTTGGCAAATACGGCTGTTCTGGGTCTCCATGGAAACGCTATCTGATGTAGTGAATACCAGCTAATGCAGGCCCTTTCCCTCTCAAGCATGGCAGCAAGGGTGAGGTGCCAGGGAAAGCAACTGAGAGGCCAGCTCCACCCCTGCAGGTGCCGGGAGGGAGCCGGGGCGGTGGGCAGGGGGCATTGTCCTCAAAGATAATGGCATCTCCCACCCTCTCTCATCATAGCAGCAAGGAAGTCGGGGCAGCCACTCCTAAAGGACTGACATGGTTGTGGCTTCTCTGGGAGCCGGCTCTCAGCTGGTGAGCCCCAGGAATGGGAATCTGGGACCACAAGCTCACACTGAAATTCCAGGCACAAACCTGAGCCTATTCAGGGACTAATTAATACTAATAATAATGTCTACTATTCCTGTGTGTGTGCTCTGCACCACAGGCACTGTCCCAGGCATTTGACATAGTGTCTCATCAACATTAACTCATCTTCAAGGTAAGGATCCTTTTTTTAATAAACTTTTTTTAAAAATATATTTTTATTGATTTGAGAGGAAAGGAGAGGGAGAGACAGAGATAGAAACATCAATGATGAGAGTCACTGATTGGCTAGCCCGCAACCCGGGCATGTGCCCTGACCGGGAATTGAACCCTGATCGCCTGGATCCTAGGTCGACGCTCAACCGCTGAGCCACACCCAGCCGGGCTAATAAACTTTCTTTACTGAAGTATAACATACATGATGAAGAGCACACCGATCGTTAGCATACAATCTGATAGCTTTTTATAAAATGCATATACCAGGTAACTACCACCATCAAGAAATATTACATCCCAGTGCTCCTGCCCTCTTCCCATCACTACTTTCTTCTGCCCAAGAATAATCACTATTTTGAACTCTAACACCACAGAGCAGCTTGTAGAAATGGAATGATAAGATAGCATTCGTATGTGTTGGTTTCTTTTGCCCAACATTATGTTTATGAGATTCACTTATTATTGTTGCAAGCAGCAGTTGTTTGTTCATTTTCGTTGCTGTATAGTATTCCATTGTGTGACTATACCACAATTTATCCTACCTTTGATGGCCATTTGGTTATTTTCAGTTTGTGGTTTTATGAGTAATGCTACTGTAAATACCTTTGCGCGTGTCTTTTAGTGGGCATGTGTATAAATTTCTGTTAGGTGTATTCGAGGAGAGGAATCACTGGGTCATAGGATATGCTTTAGTAGATAAAGCCAAACAGATTTAGAAAGTTATGAGGAAAAGATTCTTAATCTCACTCAGCAAAAGTGAAAATGGGTTTGAAGACCTGAAATAACTCACCTAGAGTCACAGGTGCTAAGAGGAAGAGATGGGAGTCAACCCTTTTTCTTCCCTTCATGCTACACTGAGGATTTCTTAAGAAAACATAGCAGAAAAGAGAAGCAGAAATGTGAAGGCAGCAATCTGCCCAAGCCCCAACCTTTTGGAGAAAACTCATAGCTTGCATTGGAATGTCTTTCAAAATATTTTTTATGCATTCTTTTTTTAAAAATCTTGGAAGTGGGTGAAGTAGAACTTACGACTCTTACTTGGCAATCAAGAAAAGTGAGGCTTGAAAGTTCCCTGTTGCTGGAGAGATGAGACAGAGTCTCCCGACTGCAGTGCGAGTTCAGCCACTGCACCTCTCACTGGGGGCCAAAGGGCACAACTCTGGAGCTGATAAACCCTTTTATATTTGAGGTGCAAACCATATGAGGACATGAACCCTTTTATATTTGGGGTTCAGATTAGGTGGGGCCAGGAACCGTCTCATATTTGACATCCAGACCATGTGGGGTCAGAACCAGCTAATGGGAGCCTGCTCTTGCTTTCTCTCAGAGCAAGATTTTACATCTGCTCACAGCAACCCAGTAATTCTACATTGTTAGCCCTATAAATGGGCATCTTAGAACCATTGGCCAAAGTGAATTGCTTGGGAGAAGGTCACCAGAATATCCTTATTGATTGATTTAGAATATCATCTCACATCAAACACCCTGCCTATAAGACGAGCATAAGCTCCTCCTTCCTCTACCCATGTGCCATTTCCCCCGGGACCTTGGTAAAAACCCTCGGCCTCTGCAACACCAAATCCAAGCTCTCTACTAGAAAACTTTTGCTGAAAATATAAACGGTAATGAAAACATGGCACTTGGATTAACTTGAATTTTGCTTTCTTTTTCCCCCCATTATTTTTGGCCCATCTGCTCATTATTGCTCTAGACCTGTTGTCTGGAGCCAGTCATCTTTAGCCAGCTTTCAAGGACCTTTGACTAGGTGTTCAGCAAGGGATTCGAGGTTTCCTATCTGCTGGGGCATTTCAGTTAGTCTTCCACGGCTGTTCTCTGGAGATGGTGAGAAATCAAGGCCCTTTCCAGGGACAGGCAGCAGAAATCATCACAGGATGGAGCTTAACTCTGAAACGACCAGGGCGATTTGAGCAGCAGTCTGGTTAGATGAGGAAACTCTTGGAAGGTTTGGGTGACTTGCCCGGTACTCTCAGTGAGCTGCTGCATCTGTGGGAGAGGGAACAGATGGTTCTCTCATCTGGCCAGGAATTTACTCAGCCTTTTGTGTTTGAGAATCATATTGAAGCTGCAGGCTGGATGCAAGGATCCCTACAGAAATTAGAGTAACCTTTTATAGGAAGGTGGATGGAGAGCTCCATATTATCTGGAAAGGGGCCTTTATTTTGCATTTTGTGTTTCTAGGGTTGAATTAAAAAAAAAAAAAATCAAGCAACTGCTGGCCACAGTGGATCTATATAAAGAAAAGAGCACAGCAAGAGGCTTGGTTGATACAAGGGCTGGATGTCCAGCACGGCTCTGCCACAGCGCTCCCAGGATATGGCCATGTGTAGGACTCAGCTGAGAGGGTGAAGTCATCGTCCACTGAAGGACCCCCAGAGCCTTTGCTTGGGCTGAGGCCAGACATCCCTAAAAGGACCAGCTCTTATATAGCCGCGAAAGGCAAAAACAGCAACATAAGTGGATGAGAAAGCCTCATGTCTCTCCTTTCAGGGTGGGATAAACCTCTAGAACTGGGGGACAATAGTGGGAGAGGGAGCCCCAAGAAGGAAATCTTGGACCTCTTACCAAGCTGACGCATGGGAATATAAGACATGTGACTTGGTCCCTGAATTTGGAGTGCTAGTCACACTGCCTACACTTGATTATTTACACTGGCTGATAGAATTGGCGTGTAGTATTATTCTTTTCTCTAGCAAGTGCCATAGCATTTACTCTGAAAATTCTGAAGTTCAAGGCTCCAGAGTCAAAGACCCCAATTTTTCTCAACTTGATCAGGTCTCTAAGCTCAAAACATAATGTGTCATGTTATATAAGACAAAGAACAAGGTAGGCTGACCACTTGGGCATCAAATGATTGTGCTAAAAGACTTCTAAAATGATGTTACAAAATATTGAAGATCTACTGGGAACCTGCTAATCTGAAGTGAGTTCTAGAGAAGCTCAACTTTCTTTCTTCCTGCCCCACTGGAGAAATCTAAAGTCTGCTTCTCAGAGTACCTTCCATGAGCCAGCAGCATCCATCCCCTGAGAGGATCTCAGACCCCACCTCAGGCTTGCTGAACCAGATCTGCATTGTCCCATGTCCCATGTTATCTGTGTGCACTGCAGCTGAAAAAGATGGCACTGGACAAAGCAATGAGCCCCAGCAGGCTCTTGAAGGTGCTGCCAGCTGTACAGCTTCCCCAGGCCTGGGGTCTGGGTCCTCTGAGACACATTGCCCCTACAGTTGAAAGGGCTGATGTTTCATCTCCAGCAGACAGAGAGAATGGCATCTCTTCCTGGGAGCTCCTGTATGACCCCCCTAAGGATCCATGAAACACGTCAAGAAGGAAGAAATAAACTCCCACCGCCTATCACTGCCCTTCTATGAGAGAAAATCATTTGTAAGGCTGTGCCAAGGCTGTTAAAAAAGCCCTGATTGAATGGGCAGGGCAGTGACAGGCCCCAGGTTGGCTCACTTGGTCTGGAGTCGTGGGCCCACATTTGACAGTCCCCGGAGTCCTCCGGCACCTGTGTGCACTTTCTCTTCTTTGTTGGTGGCAACGAAGCTCTAAAATCAAGAAACCAAAATGAAGGTTAGGGCCCTCCTTTGTTCTCCTTGTTCCAGTAAATAAAATTTAATGTTCCAGGTCTCTGCTCTCTGCCTTCCTAAGTCTAATTCTAACAAGTTAAGGTTCCGTGAGCCTTACTAGTCTGCAAAACCAGGACCATGCATGGAGTGGACAAAGCAAGACCCTATTCCATGAGTCCTGCTGGTCTCAAACTTCATTTTCTTCTACCAAATGGGCCTGCGATTCACCTACTTGATATATAAACTGGCAAAGGCCGACGTCGTGTTGAGACAGAGAAGATACGGACTTAAAATACAGGTATACATTTTACACTGGACTTTTTTTTTTCCACGTGGAATTTTACCACAATTTTTGTTGGCCTTTACTCCTTTTGCCATCTTTTAGGTCCAAAATGAGAAATGAAAGGGACAAAAGGGGGAGAGGAAGGAAAAGAAAAGAAAGGACTATGAATGAATGTTTAATTGACAGATATTTTCCTGAGAGCTCAGTCACAAATTCCCTTGGGTATCTAGCTGCGGCTGCACATGCAAACGGGGCTTCCTCCATCCCCCAGAACCTCCCTACATATTCCTGACACTTTAGCTTTTCACGGAATGAGGAGGACCTTGGGTTTAGTGCGTTTTTAATTAAAAGGTGGTCTAAAGCCCAGAGCCCCGGGCCTGGCCCTGTGCGATAGCTGTCTCAACACTGCCATCTCCTGGACAGGCGCTGCTGTCGCTCTCTCCGGGCCCGCCGCGGGCAGGCTGCCCGAGGTCCTAACTAAGTATCTTGCTTACCCAGGGCTGTGGCATAGAGGCTGCTGATGGAAAGAACAACTTATCCCCAGATGAGAGCACACGGACTGGCCCAGGGCGGTGGCGGGATGGCCGGTGTTGGCGCGGCAGGTGTGAAAGTCGCTGTGCACAAGGCCCGGGGCGCTGCGTTCCCACGAGCTCTGAGGGGGGCGCTCGGGCAGCGGCCCAGGTGCCGCCGCAGGATGGAGAGGAGCTGGGGTTCCCAGAGCCGGGCAGCAGGCACCTGGGGGACACGCAGGTGAGAAGGGCCCCTCTCCCTCACCGCCCAGGGCTGAAGAAAGTGCACGTTGCGCGGGAGGCGGAGGGCACTCACCTTTGACCTGTGGAGGGGAGCAGGAGTCTGATGTAGAGTAGGGGGGGGTGTCCGGGAGCCCGCGTTGCCTGAGGATGAGAGACATGCGTTGCTTTTCTGTTGTAACCTGTTCCATCATTATATTTCTGTCACAAATGGAAGGCGGCTCTCAGTGTGCGGCACCCCCAGGGATGGTTCCAGGGGCTCCAGGGGCCAAGGCGCCAGACCATGCCCAGTGTCCTGTGTTAAATGAATGGGCTTTGCATCCCAGCTGTTCCACTTCTTAGCTGTGTATCTATAAACAAGTGCTTGGCCCGGCCGGGCGTGGCTCAGCGGTTGAGTGTGGACCTAGGATCCAGGCGATCGGGGTTCGATTCCCGGTCAGGGCGCATACCCGGGTTGCGGGCTCAATCAATGACTCTCTCATCATTGATGTTTCTCTCTCTCTCCCTCTCCCTCTCCTTTCCTCTCTCTGAAATCAATAAAGATATATTTTTTAAAAAAATAAATAAACAAACAAACAAGTGCTTGGCCNCCTCTCCTTTCCTCTCTCTGAAATCAATAAAGACATATTTTTTAAATAAATAAATAAATAAACAAACAAACAAACAAGTGCTTGGCTTTTCCAGGCCTTGGTTTCCTCACCTACAAATGGGAATAATCATTGCTCTTTCCTCAGAGCTTCATTGTGACAATTAAAGATTCTGTGTATAAACCCATAATGCCCCAAACCCACAGAATACTCAGGAAACTTTAATTAACATTATTATTGCTTTTTAACATTCTCAAAGCACTTACACCAGAGCGATGGTTGTGCAGACTGTTTTGGGCCAAGACAATGTAACATATCACGACTAAAGCAAGGGCTTTCCATCTGTGCTCTGGGAGATCTCAGAGTTCTTGGAAGGAGCTCAGGGGTTTTATAAAAGAAAAAAAAATTAATGCCTGGGGAGGGGGGAAATCATAACATTTGTATATTGAGGTACAAGTAAAATTTCATTTTAAAAAATGAGTACCACCACTAGCAAAGTGTGAAAACTTCTATTCTGAAAAGCCTACAAGTCCCTTATGGCTCAGAAACTCTGTGATTCCAAGTCACACTTAAGCACCAACACCATCCACTTGATTCTCTTGCTAGAGAGTAAGCTGTCTTGTTCTTCTTGGCTGCCTTTATTATTTATTAGGAAAGTTATGTTTTCCTCTCGAATCATTCCTTTATAGTTTATTCACCTCTTCTTAGTAAGGGAAGAGAGAACATACATTTACGGTTCTCCAAAAACCCCACCCAAATGAAAGTAAAGGAATAAAGATGCATAAACACGAAAAGACATAGGGCCCCTGAGCAGAGACCACACCAGGCCGTATTTCAACGACACTGATGCAGACAGAATTAGTATGAATGGTGACTGGATCAGCAGGACCGGAAAAGCAAAAACAAGACTTCCTGGGGATGGCAAAGGGGACATAGGAGCCAACAGGAAGTTATCCAATTAAAATACAGCCTCAGGAAAGCCCAAGACATTGGAGTTACCAGGAGCCTCTGAATTCAGGGCTAAGATGGGGCTGAGAATAATAGGACTGAATGAAAGTTAGATGAAGGGACAGCCGGACCCTTAGATCTGCTTCCCCAACCCATAGAGCCAGGCAACTACCTCCATCTTCCCAACAGAAGCAGAAAAAGCTTACTCTCTGGGGAAATGAATCCAAGGAGACTGTGGAGCTACTGGGCTAAAAATGGAAAGATTAATTAAAAGTCCAAATGCTGAACTGTGAGACATTTCCTCAACTTGGCTTTGCAGGCATCCAAGCAGATTTCCCACAATGAGAAATCTGAAGGTTGTTCCTCAGAAAAATAGGATGTCCTCAGGAGGGGAAATGATATTTTGAATTCACCCAAGAAAATGGCCAGTCCCTGCCTGGTCACCCTACAATGAAGCTCATCCTTTGAGAAGAGTGGCTTGCACAGAGAATATCTTAAACATGAACAAACAATGAAGGAACAGACGTTTTCAGAAAGGCCTTTCACATTAAAGACGGAGAACAAACAGCTAGATAAATCAGGAGTGCAAAAGAATCACAAAAAGTTCTTCTGTTTCTGATATGACTGGTAAGCTCCTACTAGACCTGACCCTCCAACAAATAAAAACTATGAACTCTGGGGAAAAAATTTAAATTTACCCCAAAGCAATGGAAAGTGGGCAAAAGCAAGAAGATTCTGGAGGGGCACTGAAACTTGGACAAAGGTAATGGCATAAGATGAGTTACCTGTTTACAGCTCTTAGTCTTAGGGCTGGTTGAAGTCAGAACCACAAATCAGTTAAAATGCCAATAGAAACCTATAATCTTTCCGGCCTAAGGAACCAGAGAACAGAGTCAGGGGCAAACCCAGTTGCTGAAAGTGAAAGGGGAATCTTGGAAAAGAGATATTTAGAGAGAAGAAACCACAGATTCTGTGGATAAACTCTGCCTGAGTGTCTGGCCGACTCCTGAAGCCAACCATGTGTGGAGCTAACTGCACACAGCCCAGCCAAGGCAAATAAGGACTGAATTGAAATTTGAGCTACTGCCCAAGAGATAGACTTTACAAATTGAGTCTAAGCAAAGTAGTTACCTGGTAAAACAAAAATATGTATACTCTTCCGAGGAATATTTAAAAATGCCCACATTCACAATGTCCAGGATACAATGAAGAATTCCTCAGTGACTCAGTAGGAATAAGCATCTTTTGATTACCAACTCTAAGTTGATAAATAAACTAAGAAAACAACTCCTAAAAGAATGTTATCCATAAACATGCAATTCATTATTACAACAACAAAAAAATGAGAATTACTGGATAAAGAAACAGGAAAACTCAGCCCAGCCTCAAGGGAAAGAACAGTCAGTGGACACCAATCCAAAAATGATACAGATACTGGATTAGCAAACAAGGATTTTTAAGCAGCTACTGTAACTCAGCTTAATGGAGTTGAAGAAAATGTGTTCATAAAAAATTTCAAAAATACAAAATCTCTGCATAGATATAGAAACTATAAAAAAGAATTAAAGAAAGCTCTGCAATTGAAGACAATTTTAGATATGAAAATTAAAAAATTAAAAATCATGGGGGCATAAGGGAACTTGAAGACAGATCAATAGATATTATACAATCTAAAGAACAGAGAAAAAAATGAATTAAAAAATAGGGAGAGAAAAAGAGATTCAAGAACTTGCGGAGAGGGTGAAGCAGAAAAATAAAGATATAATGGCCAAAAACTTCCTAAATTTGGTAAAAGACATAAGTGTATAGGTTCAAGAAGCTCAGCAAATCTTAAGCAAGGTAGATATGGAGAAAACCACATCTAGATCATTGAAATTACATAGCCGTAAACCAAAAATAAAGAGAAATCCTCAAAAGTAGCCAGAGGAAAACAAGATATTATACGTAGGGTAATGATGATTCACATGATCAGTGGCTTCTCATCAAAGTCTCCAGAGGCAATAAGAGAGTCCAACAATATCTTTAAAGTGCTATAGAAAATCAAAACTGGCAATCTAGAACTTTATATTCAATGAAAATATCCTTCAAGAATGAAAGCAGCCCGGCCGGGCGTGGCTCAGCGGTTGAGCATCTACCTAGGATCCAGGCGATCAGGGTTCGATTCCCCGTCAGGGCACATGCCCGGGTTGCGGGCTCGATCCCCAGTTAGGGGCTCGCAGGAGGCAGCCGATCAATGACTCTCTCATCGTTACGTTTCTATCTCTCTCTCTCCCTCTCCCTTCCTCTCTCTGGAATCAATAAAGATATGTTTAAAAAAAAAAAAGAATGAAAGCAAAATAAACACATTGTTAGATAAAAAGAATTTGGGGGGGGGTGTTGGTCCTCACCTGAGGATATTTTTCCCATTGCTTTTCAGAGAGAGAATGAAAGAGAGGGAGGGAGAGATGGGAGAAGGGGGGGGGAGAAAGAGAGACATCTATATGAGAGAGACACATCGATTGGTTGCCTCCCACAGGCACCCCTACCGGGGGTGGGAATCGAACTGCAACCCAGGTACATGTCCTTGACCAGGAATTCAATCCCAGAACTTTTGGTGCATGGACCAATGTTCTAAACACTGGACAACACCGGCCAGGGCAAAAAAAACCACAATTTTTAAAAAATGTTTTTATTGATTTCAAAGAGAGGACGGGAGAGTGAGATAGAAACATCAATGATGAGAGCTATTGATTGGCTGCCTCCTGCTCGCCCCCTGCTGGGGGTCGAGCCCGCAACCCCGGCCTGTGCCCTGACTGGGAATTGAACCGCGATCTCCTGGATCCTAGATGGATGCTCAACCACTGACCCACACCGGCCAGGCAAAAAAACCAATTTTTAAGTGAATCCATGAACACATATGCACAATAAAGAAATGTTAAAGACATTATTTAGGCCAAAAGGAAATGACAGATGAAAACTTGAAACTTTAGGAAGAAATGCAGAGAATAAAAAATTGTATATGTATGAATGCAAATTACTTTTTCTCTTTATTTAAAATGCATAGGACTGTAGCAAGCAAAAATTATGACATTCTCTTGTAGTTTATAATATGTGTAGTTATAATACTTAGGACAACTATAGCATAGAGGATGGGAATGGGGGGAATGGAATAATACAATTGAAGGTTCCACATTTTCTGTAGGTAATATTAAGTTATTAAAATGTATAAAGCAAGAACAGCAATATAAAAACATCATTTAGATAAAAGGTGGTAGAAATATCTAAAAGGGTTAAAAAGCATCTGCTTCTGGGAGAGCCAAATTCAGACATATGGGAATAAGGCAGAGCATTGCTGGTTTTCATTATAAGCCATATATATTGCACCATTTTACTTCTTAATTTCTGAACATGTATAACTCTTATAAATCTATATTTTGAATGTGGTGATTGACTCTGTGATCTTCCAATGCCACTTTCAAGATTCTAGGCAGTTAAGTTACCTTTACATTAGCAGCACCACTGAACTCAGTAATGTGAGTAAAAACTAAAAATCATAAGTAAATTATCAGTTTACTCAAGAAATAGGGCATGGCATTCTAGAAGCAGGAATGCATGCTCCCTTCCTTTGTG